GGCCCCGCACCCCCGCGGGCACACGGCCCGAGGCACCCCTGGCAGCACCCCACAGCCAGAGACACCCCTGCACCCCTGGCAGCACCCCACAGCCAGAGACACCCCTGGCAGCACCCCACAGCCAGAGACACGCCTGCACCCACAGGGCCCCGGGAGCACGGGGCAGCCAGAGAGAAGCGCCTGCACCCTCACAGCCTTGGGAACAGCCGTAGCACTCACGCGGGTACACTCCAGCCAGAGAGACTCCCACTCAAATTGCAGAATCATGGAATCATAGAATCGTTTAGGTTGGAAAAGACCCTTAAGATCATCAGGTCCAAGCGTTAATCTACCACTGCCAAGTCCACCACTAAACCATGTCCCTAAGCACCACATCTGCCCGTCTTGTAAATACCTCCAGGGATGGGGACTCAACCCCTTCCCTGGGCAGCCTGTTCCAATGCCTGACTGCCCTTGCAGTGAAGAAGTTTTTCCTAATACCCCATCTAAACTTCCCCCTCCCCCTAAATGCACCACTCTATCCACACAGCCCTGGGAGCAACCCCCTGCACCCCCAGAGACACCCGCAGAGATGCAGCCCCCACTGACACTACCCTGGGGACATCACCCGCACAGACATGCAGGCAGAGGTGCACCCCTGCACACACCCTCATCCCCACAGACACAGGCGCCCAGGTACAGCCATGCACTTTCACACACACGGTCAACACTCAGCGCACGCCCACGCTGTCCCATCAACACCAGCTGTATGTCACCACACGCCTGGACACCCACCACGAAGTCAGCACGGCGGTGGCGTGGTCCTCAAACGGCGTGCCCAGCCCTCGCGGTGCACAGAGGTAGGTGACGAACACGCTGTGCCCTCGCGCACTGCCACGCGTCATACCCTGTCCCCTCCTGGCCCGAAATGGGGTGAGTCTCTCTCAGCGGCTGCACATCCACTGTTTGCTTGGCAGCCCTGTGAGCATCGTCATTACCACAACGTGGAGCTCCTGGCTTTGGTATCACAACGCTTCTTCCTCTGTCTTAATCTCAGCACCAGACTTAACCCTGAGTTTATAGTGCAACCCTTGACAACAAGCAAGCGAGATTTTACAGTGGGTAACACGGAGCTGCTTCCCTGTGCATAGCAGGGACATCTTGTCTGGCATGAAGAAAGTAATTCTTTTAGGCAGTTTGGTCCAGCCTCCCAGCACAGAGTTTGAAAGAGCAGCAAGGTCTGGGCATCCTTAAGAAGTGCCAAACTACCCGAGCACCAACTCAACTCACTCCCAGAGTTTGGGCAGACAAAGCACATTTCATGTTCAAGATTAAAAACTTGAACCCTACTCTTTATGCTAAGCTAAAGCTTGTTCTGGCAGTGGTAGAGACAAGTAGTGTTTTCTATAAATTTTTCCTATCCTAGAAATATCACCAGATATCTAGGTAAATAATACAGAATTTATCAGGATTTGGATTTCTGGCACTTCTGACATTCGCAGCTGTGTTTTATAGGTAACGTACAAGAATAAACATACTCTTAACTTCCTTGTAAAGCTGGCATTACCGCACAGCTAATGCAGTTGGGTATTCCTTTCCTTGGGTTTTGCACGCCAGTGCTTCGGTTCGCCTGAAGCGCCAAGTTCAAAGCAGCAGCACGCGTGCCACCTGGTGCCAGGCAGGAGCACGGAGAGCTCTTCGGCTTTCACCTGCTTTGCTTAAGGATTGCTCAAAAGTTTTCTAGCAAATATTACTTCTATGCAAACCACCGCATTTCCACCCCGCCCAGGATTTCAGAGGCATGCTTTTCACAAAACAAACGAGTTGTCAAAAAAACTGAGCGTGAATTTAAATTCCTTGGCCTGAAAACCTAGCTCTTTCATTTGCACACCTTGAAATCTTCTGGCAATGGTACCTTTATCTGGTTTTCTTCCACATAAGGCTGATTTTCCTTTTCCACCACCAAGTTTTATTTTTCTCATGCTTCACCAGACCACTCCCCACCCTCAAGTTTTGACTGTCTTTTTCCTCAAAGAAAGCCATGATCATCATCAACACAACTCAGGTGTAATCCAGCCTGGAGGCCACCCAATCTCCCCATTCAGCTGAGCTGCTGGGCAGGACAAGCACAACCCCAAGTCTCCTTTCTTGCCTCCAAGAGAGCTGAGGAGAGGGGAGATGAGTCCCTGAGATTTTGTGACGCCTGCTTGTCCCAGCTATGACTTTCTGGTGGTGAAGGCTGGCATCAGGGTGTTGACTTTTGAAAGCCGATGGGGGTTACAGCAATTCTCATTATTAAGTACGGCGCTTGAGTGTGCCAGGAAAGGCTGGCGCTGGACGAAAGACAGGTTATGGAATTGCTTCCTGCATTCCCGGTGTCTTCCTTCAGAAGATCCTCCCAGCATTACGGAGTCCAAACAGCGGTGCTCAGCTCTGGGGAAGCCCAGTTACCGTGATCTGCAAATGCCACCTTTCCATGGCAGCTCCCAAAGGCTTGTGGATGCCAGGGTAGAAGTCATTCCCTGCTGCAGCCAAGTCCCCTGGCACGGCCCCTCGGTCCAGCCAGGCAACCTCACTGCCCTGCAAGAGATTTTAGCAGTTCACAGGATCACCTGCAGCCCTTGGCATATATGATGGGTCTTCTGTGCTGATATCATGGCAGGCACTGATGAACCAAGCCAGTAGTGGTTTGAGTAGGGGGTGAGTTTGGCTGCAGATATCTGTTGATAAGAGCTGTAGCAAAAAAAAATCAGAACTAAAACAAACAAAAAACCCCAATCCCCCACATCTTTGTACTCATATTCCTACTACTATCAACATTGTTATTTATTGCCCTTATGTTTGATTCCTGCCAAGATGTACAAGACTTTCCCAATGCAGTGTGCAAGCCCTAAAAGTGCCAGCATA